CTTAATATAATTGTTATTTCTAGCTATTCATTTTAAATTATTCTTTTTTAGTTGTTTCAGGGATTTCAACTCATTTTATATATTAGACAATGGAAGTCCGAACTAGTGAAATTCGATTATATTTTGTTTGCCTGTTTAAAACTACGTGGATGGTTCAAAAGGTAAATGTTCAAATTTCGCGGGCTATGTGCATATAATTAGAGATTTTTTACTTTTTTATGTTGGTATACTCGTCTCAAATTCTAGGCAAAATTTTGACCAAAAAAACCGTCGCATGAGCATCGGTCAGGAATCGTTAAAATATGTTATTGGCGATCCAGATTTTCTTAAAAGGTGACGAATCGTGGACATATGGTTAATACATCGAAACCAAAGTCAAATCGTCCCAATGGAGGTACTAACCTCCTAAATACCTTGGTACTATCCTCGACAGGAAGCTACATGGAACTTTCACCTACAGAGTAGAGCAGAAACAGCATATGTGGCATATGTCGGAGGACAGTGGGACGCGCATGAGGTCTTTCACCCCGTGTAGTCACCTGAATCTACACTGCAATAATAAGACCTATGTTAACGTACGGAGCCATTGCATAGGGACCGAAAGTTCTACAAGCAACAGCCATTTGATTCAACTGAAGGAATTCGCCTTTAGGATGACTCAGATTCACGAATGTATGTTGTAATATATAGAGATATAAGTTACTCACAGGCATATATCGTTTTGACAAATTTTATGTCACAAATTCCCGTGATAATCAACAAACTCTATAGAGCGACAATTCCAGGTACTTACTGGTAAAGGCACACACACATCAGATCAAGATTGTCAGTAAATTTTCGTATGTGGTAGCAACCCAGATAAATGGTAGCATCCACCCTTATGAATTAAGAAACAGAGTTCGACTGAATCAGTCTAGTTCTAAACTACAGACATCACCAGAAGATTGCAAATGCGACTTTACTGATAAAAAATAGTAATAATAGAATGTTTAAACTCAGCAACCGTGTTAGGAATCACACGTTAAAAGGTAAGACCTCGTTAGTCCTTAGCTCGCGCAAGTTTCTCAACTTCTCAGAGTTGTCGTTCGTATGGGGGCAACAGCTGGTTTTCGGAAAAACAGATTTTAAACAGATTTTCAATTATGATTGTACAGTTTACCAATATTTACCACTTCAATATAACGACAATTAAGATCAACAACCTACTTTCTCGATATTTCGGTTAGCCTTTCCCACCTATAATAAATATTTTCGAATTGGGTTAACCACAGAGAAAGGTTCGTTGCCGAACGACACGCACAACATTCAAAAAAACCGTGAAATATAATTTGCATTTTTTTTTCTTCGACATAATAAAGATCTCGATACCGAACCAGTACGTGAAAACGCCGTGTTCGATTTATTAATCCGTGGATGTGCATTCGTTTTGCGATATTTACAGTAATTATTATGCCCTGTGAATTGCTGGTGCTGGATTCCTATAAAACGGTCCGTAATTGAACCGTTCCGATAAAAAGGTTATTATTTAGTAGGTCGTAATTGCGGGTCTTAGACATATCTATTAGGCTCAATTACACACACGCTACCATTCATTCAAAGGTATTGGTTGTACAGCGGAATGAAAATTCCGACCACGAGTCGTGAAATATGAGAAAACCTTGGAATGGTACGGAAGCCAAAGCGAGCAGTCGTGACTGGGATATGACGGTGAATGTTTTAATTGATTGGTTAAAATTTGTCTATTTATATCAACAAAAAAAAAGACTACGGAAAAGGAAAGGTCTGTGAGGATCGCGATAAAAATTATATAAGCGGACTGTAATAGTAGAACAGGGCTGAAGCCTTCAAAAATGGTAAAAAGTGAAAAAAATAGGATGAGACCCTTTAGAGAAGGAGGGGAATATAGTACGATTTACATGTTTAATTTTTTTTCTGGTTAATTCGGCCCTTACTTGATGAAGATCCATAGTACTTTCATAAACAACACCTTTGATCTCCACAAATTTTGTGGAGGTCAGATGTTATTATTAAACTACCATGTTAGGGTGGTTTTGCCGTTTAATGCTAATTAATATTTTTTTTTTTTGCAGGATGATCACCTGAACATGAATACGAATCGAAACGGGGTGGATGGCGGTTACAACTGCCGCGTGAAACTCAAGCAGATTTTAGCGATAGTGGTGAGAAAAGAAGGTTGCAGGGGAGATCCCGGCGACTTTTGGATGTACGAGAATGGTTACCTACTTTTCCAGGTGAGAATGTCTGTGCAACAAGCAATATTTCCAAGACAGCTCAAAGAAATTTCGACTTTAATCGCGACTTTAACCTGAAAATTTAGAGGTTGAGCTCGAAATTTCAACTTCAGTCTATAAATTTAGAGTTTGAACTTGAAAATTCAGGATTTTTATATCAATCTCGAAATTTACAACTTCATTCCCAAAATTTCGAATCCAATCTGTGAATTTGGAGTTCAAATTCGAAATTTCGACTTTGACCTCGGATATTTGACTTCAATTGCGAAATTTCGCCTTGACTTTCAAAACTCAAACCTATACCCTGAAATTTTGGCTTCAGTCTTGAAATTTTGAAACCAAATTCGAAATTTTGACTTCAATCTCGAAATTTTTGACCTCGAAATTTTTCCTGTGATCTCAAAATTTCAACTTTAATCTGGATATTTCGATTTAAATCAGGAAATATTCTGTTGCGTTGGTTAAGACAGAAATAATGTCATGAAAGGAAAATATTGAGAAAAAATTAATGGCAAAAATATGAAGAAAATTAAAAAAAGTGAAAAAATGAGAAAATAGGAAAAAGTAGAAAAAAACTCAGTCATGAGCCGTAGAAGATTGTGGAGACTAGCAATCGAAACATGGTGAAGTAAGTTAACTTGATTTTTTTTCCAACATTCTCATTTTTCTCTTTGGTTATTTTATTTCGATTTCACTTTTTTGTTTGTATTCAATCAAAATTACACTCGATGTTTTGTTAATTTCAATTGATGATTCTTTTCAGTTCACAATAATTTGTTTTGTTTACAAATTGAGGTTCTTATTTTTTCATTCAATTTTGCTCAACTTTTTTTTTTGCTCGACTTTTTTTACATGATTTTTAGATGATTTCTATCCGATTAATTTTAGTATTTTCGGTATTTTAACAATTTATTTATTTTCATTCCGTTTGTTTTTTTCATATACCTTTTTAGGCAATCGAGTTTCAACTTTATAACAATCATTCACGACGTTATTCAATCAAATATTAATAAAATTGAATGGAAAATGATTACAATGTAAATAGCAAATGAAAGTCAATGACAAGTGACATCGAAAGCAAATATACAGATCAAATATACAAAGTAGTCTCAGAAATAAGACATTTACTTGATATACATGTTCGATATAATATATGTTCGATAGAAGGAATATATTTTGAAGAACAAATTAAACTCAATGTTCATTACAAACATCGTCTACACATCATGACAGCTGACACAATAGATAAATACTCAAAGTAGCCAACAAAGGAAAAAGACATGCTCCAAACGGAATCCTTATCCGATTTGGTTCAATTGAAAGCAGCAGCTGGAACACGAAATACACATTTCACCCTATATGTGTCAACATTGAGGAATAAATTTATGTTCGTTCTCGGTAATTCCAATCGGCATTACATTCAATTTGTATCAGAGTTATGTCCTCGTCGCCAAGAATGTAGTTCAACATAATCGATATTAAATCTCTGTTACACCTCTTCATAAATACTTTCAAAGGTCGTAATAAACGGCGGAACGAGAAAAACAATGAGCAGTTTGCGGCAGTAGTGTAGGCAGGAATGTCGTTAAAAGCAAACCACCGTGCCACTTCAAAAATCATCCAATTAGAAACGATTAAATGGCATACCGAAGTATTTGTAAAGTATACAGGTGTTCTTGAATATTGCGTAAAGGGTTTCGCCACTATTGACCCAAATAATATTGAAAATAGTGGTAGATAACGTCGCAGTTTTTTATTTTAGAAGTTGTTGGGAGCAACCAACAAAACTTAATAATACTGTCATAGCCAAACAAGACTTCGGAATCGAACGGCCAGATTGGGTTCAAAAAAACAAGTGAAATATCGAACTTCCAACTATTCTGTGTCTTAGACAATACCTAATCTGTGACACAGAACAGTAAACTATTCTTGTTTTGTGGTCAGAATTCCTAGAACGGGTTGTTCCCTGTCGATTGTTTAATTCAACCGATTAGAAATTCGTTCTCAGTGAGTGACAATACTGATTGCTCGTCTGTGAGTAATTTTTTTGTGCATTGAGACTGTTGGGTAGAACCACGAAAAAACGGTAGAAATGTTAGCCTAAGAGGCTAAGCCTGTAAAGCAGGGGCTGTTTTTCTTGGTTCATTACAGCTTCCCAAGGCAGCAGTTTCTTTCTTTGACACAACGCCATTTATCCCCATGACGATTATTTATTTCTTTACTTCTTCGACAGATGNGTTAGTTGGTGTTAGTCAACATAGACCTAACGTCCCATTCTGACATCATCAACGTATCGATCATTTATTCAATCATCCTTGGGACAAAATCCTTCACATTTTGTTTGTCCAATTTCGGGAGAACTTACCGGAAGTATATGTATATGAATATCCAACAGAGGATCTGTTTAGTAAATGAAATACTAATGAAAATACTTCATTCCCAAGCCAGAACTAAAACACTATCTGTCGATGCGCGTTTTTTTGGCCCAGTGGTCATCATCACGAGATGTCTTACTCATGTCTCGATGGAACATTGTGAACCATTCTCAAATGGATGCTGTTCTGTTCATTCGTGTCTAGGACAGAGTATGAATTTGCAAACAATTAAACATTCACTATATTAACTCGCAAACTTAAACATCTCATTAGTATTTATGTCGACAACAGCTGTTCAAATGCGAATATTGAATTCCGCATAGACATATTTATATAGATCTACTTTCTCAGAAAAGAAAACACTCGACAGTCGGCTGATCAATCGAAAATGCTCAAATATTTGTAAAATGAATAGTTAGCTTGGTACTTTGAATGTTTACTCTGAACGATCACACGTGATCTCAGATAATTATTAGCCAATAATAGTCTCGTTAATTAAATGTTCTCCTCGGAAGTCCTCAAGAACCTTTTCGAAACTGATGATTTTTTTACATTTGAAACATCAATTTGAATACTTTTCGAAGTGAATTTAAAAAACTCATGAATCAAACTCAACTTTATTTTGTTCAAACTTGCATTTGCTGTGATAATCCAAATTGAGGAACATTCCCCATTGATAACAGCTAATTTGTTGAAGCTACATCTGTCAAATTAGTTGTCATTTATTCAATTTGTTTTTTGCCAAATCAACGTGGTCAGATATCCGATATAGCATTCAGAAACACGTGCAAATAAAGACATTGTTTTATCAAAATGGGTATTCTGTTTGTACAAAGTACCGCGCGCTTCGCCCATTTACGGTCGACATAATTGTCCTACCAACAGGAATGTGGTGAATAAATTGGAATCCACTGATTCCGTAAACGATAGACCAACACCTCTACGTCGACAAACCGCAAAATCTACCGAAAACATCGCCGCTGTCTGTGAGAGTGTGCAGGAGAATCCAAGACAGTCGATTTCGAGTCGCTCACAAGAACTCTGCCTTTTGTAGACCACACACACTTTGTTTTATTCAAATTTAAAGATAGGAAGCACTGCATGAGATTACCTATACTATTATTATAGGCTATGCTATTCATATAAAAAAACCTATTTTGTTTGTTTTCTCCTATCGACTATTTGTTTGAAGAAAACATGCGTGTTAGTCCGGTCAATTTAGACCTGAAAACAGTAATGAAATAACGAAAATTGCGACAGAGCTAAATTTTGGTGGTCTATAAAAAATAAAAATTTCAAAGTCCCAATCTGTCCCATGGCGCTTCAAAATTTATTCAGGATCAAAGGTCAAAATTTCAGGTTTTTTGAGGTTTCATCCTCACTGAGGATGAAAACCTCACTTAGCCAGTAATTTATTTGGTTTACCCCTTGGTTGTAAGGGGTGGAAAACGCAACTCCTAAAATTTATTTCCAAAGTAACTTTTTGTCTTATTATTTGTTTACCATTTAAAAATGTATTTCCGATAGCCTGTTTCATTCTAAACAAAAAATGTCTCTTGGGTTTTTTGCCCAAAATAAAGAGCAATTAATCCACATACCTATTAGAAAAGATATCAGGGATTTGGCGCTGAAGCTCTCTGGTACGACCACTCTGCCTCTGCGAG